AGAAAGTAAACAAGGAGGCAGTCTTCTCATTTTCCTATTCACCCTATGCTATACTTTCCATTTCTGGCTCATGAAATAATGATCTCAAATGTGTCCAAAATTAAAGAATCCTACAGCTAACTATATTATTTTCCCTATGTGTGTATTTTTGTCTATTTCATCTCCAAAATATATTTAAAATTGTCTGTTTTCTCTAATTTTTTTCCCTCCATTTTTATTTAGTTCTTTATTTTTTAAAGATTGGCACCTGCGCTAACATCTGTCGCCTTCTTCTTCTTCCCCTCCCCCTCCCCTCCCCCTCCCCTCCCCTCCCTCCTCCCTCTCTTCTCCTCCCCCTCCTCCTCCTCCCCCTCCCCCTCCTCCTTCTCCTCCCCCCCTCCCTTCCTCTCTCCTCCTCCTCCCCTCCTCCTTCCCTCCTCTCCCCTCCCCCCCCCTCCCCCTCCTCCCTCCTCCCCTCCTCCTCCCTCCCCTCCTCCCCTCCCCCTCCTTCCTCCTCCTCCTCCCTCCTTCCCCTCCTCCTTCTCCTCCCCTCCCCCTCTCCTTCTCCTCCCCCCTCCCCTCCTTCTCCTCCTCCTCCTCTCCTCCTCCTCCCCCTCCTCCTCTCCTCTCCTCCCCTCCTCCCTCCCCCTCCCTCCTCCTTCTCCTCCCCTCCCCCTCCTCCTCTCCTCCCCTCCCTCCTCCTTCTCCTCCCCCTCCCCCTCCTCCTCCTCCTTCTCCTCCTTCTCCTTCCCCTTCTCCTTCTCCTTCTTCTCTTCTTTTTCTTCTTCTTCTTCTTCTTCTTCTCCCCAAAGCCCCCCAGCACATAGCTGTATATTCTAGTTGCAGGTCCTTTTGGTTGTGCTATGTGGGACGCCGCCTCAGTGTGGCCTGATGAGCAGTGCTCCATCTGCGCCCAGGATCCGAAGCACCGAAACCCTACGCTGTTGAAGGGGAGCTGTGAACTTAACCATTCAGCCACGGGACCGGCCCCCTTCCCTTCATTTTAAAAAAACAAATGGCAGGTCTGGAGACTGAAGCTGACTTCCAGAATGGAATTTTTCTGCCGTAAACAATGCTGTCTCTTTTTTCCACAAGAGGTGGAAATCACCTCCTGAAGGTGTCACACTGGAATCCCATTGTAAAAACTATTTGCTTTTTCCCATATGCTTTTGGCTATTGCTCAAAATATAGCGATCTACTATTTATCTTTGTCGTTAAGATTTTAGTTTGTCTTCCCAACACTGATGCAAAAGGTGTTTTGAAATACAGTAGGCACACCAGTCTCAGGAGGAATATGTCCAAAAATTCAGATAAACACCAGCACTGAGAAATTGCAAAACATCTTGGCCATAAACAGCATAAAGATCATCTGTTAATAAGGAAGTGTTGCCAACCCTTTTAATGCTGACATCCATTAAGATGTTTATCTTTTAAACCCTAAAAAAACTACAAAAGCAGTAACATGATCACTGTAGAAAAACTTAAAATACAGCTAAGCAAAAACAAGAAAAATAAAACAGCATATTCCCACCATCCAGAGATTATATAATAATATTTGAGTGGGTATCCTTCTATATCTTATTCTACATATATATACATATACGTATCTTTTTATCAAAGTGAAACCACACTGTATATATTGCTTTCTAACATGCTTTTAACTTAACCATCTTTACCTTCCAACACAATATATTTTCATCTCATCTGATACTAAGTGTAGGTTCAAATCTTCCCAGTTGTCTCAAAAATGTCCTTTGCAGCTCGTCTGTCTAAACCAAGTCCAATCTAGAGACAAGTTTTGATTCTGATTATATATCTTAAGTATCTTAATCTAAAACAGTCCCTTTTCTCGTGACACCAATTTGCTGAAAAGACCTGGGTAGCTGTCCTGAAGAACATCTGATTTTCTAAATTTTTCTAGTTGCTTCTTTATGGTGTCCTTTAGATGGTCACTTGATCTCCTATGTTACTTTAAGCTGGAAGTTTGGCCTAAAAGCTTGATAATTTTAAGGTACACGTTTGGCTAGAACAAATCATAGATGATTAGCATATTTCATTTGTATCAAATCAAGAGCTACATAATATCTGAATGTCTCCCTCTCAGTGATGTGAAAAATTAGCCACTAGATTATGGTGGTAACAGTCAGATTGTTTCTTTTTTTTCCCCAACTTCATTTATGAATAGTTTTAAAGTACAGAAAAGTTGAAAGAATAGTACAGTGAATACTAGGGTACCCGACACTTAGACTGAACAATTGCTAATATTTTACTAAAATTGCCTTATCTATACGTGTATCAAAATATTTCTTTCTTCATGAACCATTTGAAAATAAATTGCAAACATCAAAAATTTAAAATAATTCAGAATGCATCACCTAATAATAATGACATTCTCCTTTTATGGCCCTATCATTTTGGCCCTAAAAAATTTAGCAATTATTCCCTCATGTCACCTAAAATTTAGTCTATATCTAAATTTCCTTAATTGTCCCCTGCAAAGGTCTTTTATAGATTTTTTTTTTTAAACCAGGATCCAGTCAATATCTACTCATTGCATTTGGTTAAGAAGTTTCCTTAGTCTCTTTTAATCTAGAACAGTTCCTCCTCATTTCTACTTTTTGTTTTATAATGACATTGGCTTTTAGATGAGGCCAGTTTAAGCATTTACTCTTAATAAAAGTGATTTGCAATCTGGATCTTTTCTAAGTCAAAATTTCTTTAAGAAATGAGAATTTTACAACACTTTTTTTTTTTGAGGAAGATTAGCCCTGAGCTAACTGCTGCCAATCCTCCTCTTTTTGCTGAGTAAGACTGGCCCTGAGCTAACATCCGTGCCCATCTTCCTCTACTTTCTATGTGGGACGCCTACCACAGCATGGCGTGCCAAGCGGTGCCATGTCCACACCCAGGATCCAAACCGGTGAACCGTGGGCCACCGGGAAGCGGAACATGCGAACTTAACTGCTGCACCATCGGGCTAGCCCCACAACAATTTTTTGAAACCAGTACCTTGTCACAAAAACATAACTGGGAAACACTAACCTACAGACTATTTTGGAGAGTGACCAATCATCCCATTTTGCCCAGAACTGAGGGGGCTTCCAGGATGCAAGTGATACAACCAGGAAATTTCCAGGCAAACCAAGATGAGTTGTCACCCTACATACGGTCACCTTTGGAAGGCACTTACTAATGTTGAGGAAATAGTTATATAGTGATTATTTAAAATCATAACCTAGTTCTGATCATTTTCATTATGCCAAATAAGTATTTATATACTCATACTTCTTAAACTAAACTGTGAACTGAGCATTAATTATGCATGTAGATATAAGATACATGCTTGGGAAAACGTCATAACTAAAATTCCATGTCTTACTTCTCAAACTTTAAAAAAAAATACAGCAACATAATACAGCCTTCTATTACTTAATGTTACATAATTGTTAAAATCATACCCTAAACCAACAACGACTGCAGTACATTGAGCTCCATAGAGACAGCACCAGGGCAAGCGAGAGCCAGATGGGCACTGGTTGACGTTGTGTCTTGCTGAGAGGAAATAACTAAACATGCGCAAAGCAGATCCCAAGAGACCAAGAAGCAAAATGTCATCATATGCAGTCTTTGTACAAACTTGCCGGGAGGAGCACAAGAAGCAACCAGATGCTTCAGTCACCTTCTCAGAGTTTTCCAAAAAGCGCTCAGAGAGGTGGAAGACCATATCTGCTAAAGAGAAAGGAAACTTTCAAGACAGAGCAAAGACAGACAAGGGCTGTTATAAAAAAAAAAATGCAGGGCCAGCCCAGTGGCATAGTGGTTTAAGTTCACATGCTCCGCTTCAGCGGCCTGGGGTTTACGGGTTTGGATCCCAGGTGCAGACCTACACATCGCTCATCAAGCCATGCTGGAGGTGGCATCCCACATTAAGAATGGAGGAGGAACATTGGCACAGATGTTAGCTCAGTGATAACCTTCCTCAAGTAAAAAGAGGAAGATTGGCAACAGATGTTAGCTCAGGGGCAATCTTCCTCACCAAAAAAGGAAGGAAGGAAGGAAGGAAGGAAGGAAGGAAAGAAGGAAGGGAGGGAGGGAGGGAGGGAGGGAGGGAGGAAGGGAGGGAGGAAGGAAGGAAGGAAGGAAGGAAGGAAGGAAGGAAGGAAGAAGACCTATATTCCTCCTAAAGGGAAACAAAAATAAGTTCAAGGATCCTAGTACACCCAAGAAGCCACCTCCAGTCTTTTTCTTGTTCTGATTATTGCCCAGAAATCAAAGAAGAACATCCCAGCCTATCCATTGGTGATACTGCCAAGAAAGTGGGAGAGATGTGGAATAACACGCTGCAACCTTGAGAAAAGAAGGCTGCTAAGCTGAAGGAAAAATACGAAAAGGATATTGCTGTATAAGCCTATGCAGCAAAAAAGGGAGTCATCGAGGCTGAAAAAAATCAAGGAACAGAAGGAAGATGAAGATGATGATGATAAACAAGTTGGTTCAAGTCTTTTTCCTTGTCTATAAAGCATTTAACCTCCTTGTACACAACTCATTCCTTTTAGAGAAAAAAGTTAAAATGGAAGACTTTGTAAGACCTGTTTTTTAAACAGTACAATGTCTTTTTTGCTATAGTTAACACACTGCTAAATGTGTCTTTAGCTAGCCCTGTCCGGTGGTATTTTCAATACCACCAACCTTGCCTGGTACGGTATGGGGGTTGTAAACTGTCACAGAGATTTAAAGCAGGTTCTTGTTGGTGCACAGCACAAGTTAGCTATACTTGGGAATGGTAGCTTTTTCATCTGCAGTTGTCTCTGATGAATCCTATTTGAATTAACTGTTGCTTTCTGAACTGAACACCACTTTGTAGTTGCAAAAAGAAAAAAAGTTGCAGTTGTTTTATTGGCATCCTATATGCTTCTAAGTAAACACAATTTTCTTTTTAGAAAAACAAATAATCCCCTAAACCTATATTTTACCCTAGTGAATGTTATCTGCTGCACAAAACACAGTTATTCTCTTAAAACTTATTTTTAAGAAGTAATTTATTTCACGCGTAGTTACTTAAACCTTTAGGAATTATGTTTTCTTTCTTTCTTTTTTTTTAAGTAGAAGCATGCCTTTTACAATACAACAGTTCGTGATTTGTTCTTTAAAGGACTTTACTTTTAAAATGTTCTTCTGCAACTGGATGGTGACAAAGTTTAGGTTTGCTGGGATTATTTTTCAGCAGCCAATCAGCCAGCCAAATCTATGAAAAAATGAAAAACATCCTCAAGTTAATAAACATTTAAATACTTTATACAACACATAGTATATCAATTTAAAACAGTTTTCAAAAATTGCTTTAAGAATAATGAGAAAATGACCATTAAAAATTGAAACACTGAGTTTTACATTATGCAAGATTGTCAAGTACAGATCCAAACTGGAAAAGAAGTAAAACTATCTCCATTCACAGAGGACATGGTCCCATATTTAGAAAACCCCAAAGAGTCCACAAGAAAGCCACTAGAACTAATAAATGAATTCAGCAAAGTTGTAGGTTACAAAAGCAACACATAAAATTCAGTTGTGTTTCTATACATCAGCAATGAACAATCCAAAAAGGAAATTAAGAAACCATTTTTGGGGCCAGCCCAGTGGTTAAGTGCACACATTCTGCTTTGGCGGCCCAGGGTTTACCAGTTCAGATCCCGGGTGCGGACATGGCACTGCTTGGCAAGCCATGCTGTGGCAGGTGTCCCACATATAAAGTAGAGGAAGATGGGCACGGGTGTTAGCTCAGGGCCAGTCTTCCTCAGCAAAAAGAGGAGGAGTGGCAGCAGATGTTAGCTCAGGGTTAATCTTCCTCAAAAACAAAAAAAGAAAGAAATCATTTTTATTATAATAGCACTGTAAAAAATATATCTAGGAATAAATTTAACCAACTTGTATCCTGAAAACTATAAAACATTGCTAAAAGAAAATAAAGGACCTAAATAAAAGGAAAAATATCCCGTGTTCACGGAAAGACTTAATACGGTTAAGATGTCAATACTACCCAAAACAATCACAGACTCAATACAATCTCTATCAAATTTCCAACAGTCATTTCTGCAGAAATGTAAAAGTCAATCCTCAAAATCATATGGAATATTTCAAGGGGCTCTGAAAAGCCAAAACAATCATGAAAAAGAACAAAGTTGGAGGATTTTCCGACTTTTATCCTTCCTGGTTTCAAAATCTATTGCAAAGCTACAGAAATCAGGGGCCAGCCCCATAGCCGAGTGGTTAAGTTCACTCACTCCACTTCGGCAGCCCAGGGTTTCGCTGGGTTTGGATCCTGGGCGTGGACATGGCACCGCTCATCAAGCCATGCTGAGGAGGCATCCCACATGCCACAACTAGAAGGACTCACAACTAAAAATACACAACTATGCACCAGGGGGCTTTGGGGAGAAAAAGGAAAAATAAAATCTTTAAAAAAGAAAATGCTACAGAAATCAAAACAGGGTGGCATACAGAGAGACAAAAAGACCAACAGAATAGAAGGTGAGAGTCCAGAAATAATGGCCATACACATATGACCAATTGATTTTTTTTTTTGAGGAAGATTAGCCCTGAGCTAACATCTGCTGCCAATCCTCCTCTTTTTGCTGAGGAAGACTGGCCCTGAGCTAACATCGGTGCCCATCTTCCTCTACTTTATATGTGGGACGCCTGCCACAGCATGGCTTGCCAAGCAGTGCCATGTCTGCCCCCAGGATCCGAATCGGTGAACCCCAGGCTGCCAAAGCAGAACATGTGAACTTAACCGCTGCACCACTGGGCTGGCCCCTGACCAATTGATTTTTAACAATGATACCAAGTCCATTCAATGGAGAAGGTACAGTCTCTTCAACAGATGGTACTGGGACAACTGGATTTCCACATGCAAAAGCATGAAGCTGCATGCTTACCTCACACCACATAGAAAAATTAATTCAAAATGGATCAATAACCTAAATATAAGAGCTAAAACTCTTACAATATTAAATGAAAACATAGGAATAAATCTTCATGACCTTGAATGTGGAAATGGATTCTTAGATGACACCAAAAGCATGAGCAACAAAAGAAAAAATAGATAAATTAGATTTTGTCAAAATTTTAAAACTTTTGTGCATTAAATGACATTATCAAGAAAGCACCTAAAGGGGCTGGCCCCATGGCGGAGTGGTTAAGTTCACGCATTCTGTTTTGGCGGCCCAGTGTTTCACCAGTTCGAATCCTGGGCACGGACATGGCACCACTCATCAAGCTAGGCTGAGGCGGCATCCCACATGCCACAACTAGAAGGACCCACAACTATGTACAGGGTGACTTTGGGGAGAAAAAGGGAAAATAAAATCTTAAAAAAAAAAACAAAGCAAAAAGATAACCTACAAAAGGGAAGAAAATACTTGCAAACCATAGATCTGATAAGAATTTAACATCTTCCACATATAAAGAACTCCTACAACTCAACAAAAAAAAACTCAGTTAAAAATGAGTAAAGAACTTGAATATGAACAGACATTTCTCCAAAGAAAATATACAAATAGCCAAACAGCACATGAAAAGATGCTCATTATTAGTTGTAAAGGAAATGCAAATCAAAACCACAACAATAGACCATTTCACATCTACTAGGATGGCTATAATAAAAACAAAAACAGAAAAGAATAAGTGCTGCTCAGGATGTGGAGAAACTGAAACTCTCAAACATTGCTAGTAGCAAAGTAAAATGGTGCAGTCGCTGTGAAAAACAGTTGGGTGGTTTCTCAAAAAGCTAAGCACAGAATTAGCATGTGACCCAGCAATTCCACTCTTATGCATATACCTCAAAGAATTGAAAACAAGTACTCAAACAGATACTTGTACACCAATGTTCACTGCAACATTATGCACAATAGCCAGAAGGTAGAAACAACCCTAGTATTCATCAATAGATGAATGGATAAGCAAAATATGATATATACACACAATGGAATAATATTCATCCATAAAGGAATGAAATTCTGATACATGCTACAACCTATATGAACTTTGAAAACATTATGCTAAGCGAAATAAGCCAAACACAAAAGAAGATTGTCTGATTCCACTTATATTAAATATCTATAATAGGCAAATTCACGGAGACAGAAAGTAGATTAGAGGTTACTAGGGCCTGAGGGGAGGAGATAATGGGGAGTTATTGCTTAGGTTACAGAATTTCTGGTTGGGTTGATGAAAAAGTTTTGGACATAGATAGTGATGATGGTTGCATAAAATTGTGACTATAATTAATGCCACTGAATTGTACACTTAAAAGTGGTTAAAATGGCAAGTTTGATCTTATACATATTTTATCACAAAAAACTGAAAAGAAAGATTGTTAAGTATATACAGAAGCACTGAAAATAACGTTAAAAGTAATTATTTATTGTGGTATTGTTGTTAGACCGTAAAGATCCTTGTAAGAGAATACATGCCAAGATATAGAATTTAATACATGATAAGTAAGGCTTCATAAATCAATGTACAAGGACAACTGGTCAGAAAAAAATCAGTTTAGATCTTCATCTTGTGTTACACACAAAAATAATTCCAGATGCAGGGGAAAATTAAGTATAAAAAATTTACAAGTAAACAAAAGTGAATATTTAGCAAAACTTTCAATGGGAGAGGCCTTTCTAAACTTAGATGGTAAACGAAAACTCACAATAAGGAAAAAAATCAAGGTCTGACTTATTGAATATTATTTAAAACGCAAAATTGAAAGTTAAACAAAAAGGGAAATATTTTTGCCGTAAGTATGATTAAAAGTTGATGTAACTAACATACAAAAAACTCTCACAAAACTCCAACAGGTAAGTGGACAAAAGACAGATAGATAATTCACAAAGGAGGAAATACAACTAAACACAAGCGAGAATGCTTAACCTCGCCAGTAAATATATACATATAAGTTAAAACAATTGAAATATCATTTCTTTTGTCTCTTTTGCCTGTTATCAGATCAGTCCTACTTCCACTTCAGTGTTTTTAACTTACATCTAATACTAATGTGGATGGGGTGAAATGGGAATTACACATTTGTGATCACAGTGTAAATTGGCATGGCCTTTCAAGAAAGCAATATGATAGTATGTACTGTGACCTGAAAATATTCACATTAGAAATAACAACACAAAAAAAGTCAAGAAAATTCTGAAAAAGAAGACTAACTAGGAGGCTTAGAACCACCTGATTTTAAAATATAAAGCTACAATAATTAAAGCAGTGTGGTACTTGCAAATGAACAGATATATAGGTAAGTAAAACAGAAAAAAATACAGAAATAAACCTAAATGCATGCAGGAACTTAGTATATGTTAACAGTGCAATCTTAAATCTATGAGGAAAATAGAGATTGTTCAATAAATGGTTTTGGCCAATTGGGAAACCCAGTGGAAAATAAAATAAAATGTGGCTCCCTACCTCACTCTCGATAGCAAAATAAATTCCAGATGATCAAAAATATATATGTAAAAAAAGGAGCATAAAAAGTACTAGAAGGAAACATGGGAGAATGTCATTTATAATCTCAGAGCAGAAAACCTTCTTTAAATACAGCCAGAAACCTAGAGCTCAATAAATTCGGCTACATTAAAATTAAAATATCTCATGAAAAAAGTCAAAAGACAAGCGATAAACTGAAAAAATCTACTAAACAACAAAAGGATATTTTCCTAAATATATAGAATTCCAACACAATAAGGAAAAGATCTAGAACCACCCTTCTCCTCCAAAAAATGGACAAAGGGCATGGGTAGGAAGTTCCCAGAAAAGGAAATGCAAACGACTTTAAGCAGCATATGTAAAAAGACACTCAGACTCACTCATAACAAAAGAAATACAAATTAAACAGATTAAAATGGTACCAGATATTATTTTTCATCTATCAGATTGGCCAAAAAACGCAAGGCTTGAAAAACATCAGGCACTCTCATTCATTTTTGATCTAAGTATAAAATGGTACAACCATTACAAAAGGTAATTTGGCAATATTTATCCAAATTAAAAATGCACATAACAAAAACATCAAAATAACATTCTTTTTGACTCAGTACTTCCATTTGTAGGCATTTATTCTATAGACAAATGGTGTGCTGACATGTGAATGAGGATATTCACTGCAGCAGTTTACAATAACAAAAGAGTAGAAAGAACCCAAACAACCATCTAAATGGGACTAATTAATAAATTGTAGAGCATCCATACAACAGAATGCCATAAGCTGTTCTTTTAAAATGTGGAGATTTTGTTTGTGGTGCTATGCAAAAATTTATAATACATATTAAGTAAATAAGGTTAAAAGTGTCAAATAGTATATTTAGTGGCTAGCTACTAAATTTTGTATGTGTATGTGTTTTTAAGCACATAAACATATGTATGCTTATCCGTGCATAGGTTTTCTCTGAAAGGATACACTAAAGGCTGGTAACAGTGACTCCAAGGAGTACAACTGGGTGGCTGAGAAAGAGGAATAAGAAGAGTTACTTTTCACTATATATCCTTTTGTAACTTTTGAATTTTATACGATATTCAAATATCACTTATTCAAAAAAATAATTAATCAAAAAATAAAGTTCTTTAAGGGCCAAAAATTTTTTAAACTTCATATATTTTGACATAATTCTACTTTGATCTCTTTCCAAATGAAACAATCCCAGTGTGTGAAAAGCTCTATACTCAAAGCTGTTTATTATCACAGTATTTATAATAGCAAACAACTCAAACAGCAAAAAAGGAATAGTAAAGGTAATAAAAGAAACAGATCATGTGCCTATTAAAATAATCTCTATAGGGCCAGCCCCAGTGGCCTAGTGGTTATGTTTGGCATGCTCCAGTTTGGCAGTCCAGGTTCGGTTCCTGGGCGCAGACCTGCACCACTTGTCTGTGGCCACACTGTGCCAGTAACCCACAGATAAAATAGGGGAAGACTGGCAATGGATGTTAGCTCAGGGCAAATCTTCCTCAGCCAAAAAAAGAAAAAAGCCCACCTCTTTTAAATATAGCAATGTTCATGGAATATATGTTTATATATAGTCATATAAAAAATAAAACCTCAGCAAAGAAAAAAAAAGGACTGGAAAAAAATAACAATAATAGCAGCTGATATTTAAGCACTTATGCATTACACACCTTGACTAAGAATTTTACAAGCATTTATACATTCAGTCCTAACAATATCCCTATTAGGTAGGTAGGTACCAAATATATCTGTATTTTACTGAAGAGAAAAGAGAGATTCAGAGAGAGGTTAGGAGTCTGGAGGCAGAGGTGAATCCAGGCAAGATGACATCAGAGACTATGTTTAGGAAATGGAACCAGGGGTATCTTTTTCTTCTCTTCTTTACATTTTACATTTTTACATAGTTTCAGGTTTCCTACTAAATAAACATATATTACTTTTATAATATAAAGAAATAATCTGCCTATCTTTTCTTTTTGGTAAAAGTGACAAAGTTAGTACAGGAGATTAAATTTTTTGTCTTCCAAAGGGGATTCCCTTTGGGAGTGTTTACAGAGTCTAGAAATATTATTTTGGTAGGGCTGGTATTGAAATAACCTTCCCTGATTATCTTGGAGAGTCTTCAAATGGGTGGGAGCAGCTGTAAAGAAGGACCCAGGATGACATTTGGCCCTAGACAACTATCCTAGCTCTTCCTCCCCAACCATTCTTCCACCCGCCTGAGCAACGTTGAGACATGTAGGGATGTGAATGAATACGAGTTTTCTACTTAAAAATTTTAGATATCATGAGAAACAAAAATGTTGAACAGGGGCTGGCCCGGTGGCACAGCAGTTAAGTTCGCACATTCTACTTCTGGGTGGCCCAGGGTTCACCAGTTTGGATCCTGGGTGCAGACATGGCACTGCATGGCACGCCATGGTGTGGTAGGCGTCCCACATATAAAGTAGAGGAAGATGGACACGGATGTTAGCTCAGGGCCAGTCTTCCTCAAAAAAAAAATGTTGAACAAAATTCAAGTATGTATCTAATTTTATCCTTTGATTATATAAGTTGTACACAAAAAAACAATGCTCAGCAATTGAAGGATGCAATAATTGAAAACGTATTTAGGAACAATGTTTTTTAAGAGTTAAAACACATCAAGGAAATAAGTAATCAAAAGTTATACACAAAGAAACATCTAAAATGTATATGAAATAGTTTTTAAAAACAAGTCCCAATACTTTCACTGTTTCAAAGAATACAATGTTTTAAATATAAAAACCATAGACAATATTCTTTAGTGTAAATAAAAAGATTTCTTACAAAAGGATCTGCTGGTTTTTGCTTACAAAGCTCTGTGAGTCCTTCAAGCAAGGTTGGTGTTACATATAAATTTAAATAGTCCTTAGCAGCTTGTCCAACTGGAATGGGCTCAACAATCACTGCAAATACAAATGTATTCCCATTAAAGCCAAAATAAATGATGAAATATTATATAGTCATTAAAAAATCTTCAAAGAAATTTTAATGCCATGAGAAATAAAAAGCTTTTTTTTAAAAAAGGAAACAGAACTAGATACATAGCATAAGTTTGTTCAAAAACACACAAGCACACACACAGAGAAAAATAATAAGACTACATAAGACTGGCAAAAAACATATCAAGGTGCTAATAATGATCATGTATAAGATTCTGATTATGTTTTCAACTATATCCTTTTCTGCATTTCCACTTCCACGTTTTTTATAGTAAATAATGGACAACATTATAAAAAGAAAAATACGAATGAAAAACATGTAAAATCCAGGAGATTAATTCATTTCAAAAATTAATTTCTGCCAAGAAAATGGCAGGCACCTTGCAAAGTGTATAGATACAACAGAAAATAATATATAGTTTTTGCTCTCTTATAGACTACTGAATATACACATAAAATCTATTTCTGTCTATATAATATGTATCAATATTCTTGCTCTTATTTTTCAGGTTTTTAAATAAATTATTTCAGATAGGGAGATTTTAGTCTCTTCAGCTTTGTTTGAACACTATGTAGGTGAACCAAACTTGCAATACAACAAAGAATATATTTCTACAAGAAAGAATATATTTTATAAGTCTTGGTAGGTCTTTAGAGGTTGATGTCCATCGATATGCTACTTTTGATAAAGATGAGAAAGTGAAGCTACTGGTCTCATGTGGGCAGATCTAAATCTTCACTGGTCCAAGGGAAAGGAGGGTGGGAGGACAGATTTCTGTAGGACTAGCGTACAGGCTCAGTCTCCATGGACAAGGACTAACAATGGGAGTCCTTTGCCATGATGCCAGGAAAAGCTGAGAGAAGGCTCACAGGTCTTGGATAAAAGGTTCCTTTCCCATTAGTCTCATAATATCACCCTTCATTACACTGATCACTGTAACAATTTTATTTCAGTTACACAAATATTTGTCATCTGTCTCTTTTACTCTTTAAGTTCCATGAACGTTAAGACCATGTTTATCGTGTTCAATGTTCCCTGTGCCCAGGCCTTTGGTAGTATCTTAAAAATGAGAATCTGATGTTGTCCCTTCCATCCTTAAAATGCTTCAGTAGCTCCTCATTGCATTTATAGTCAAGACAGAACTTAACACCATGGCTCACAAGACTCTCTACCATGTGACCTCCATATATCTCTCCAATCTCATCTTACATTTCTCCACCCCGATCTTTCAATTTATAGAATGTGCCATCTTCTTTCCTGCTTATGACCTGAGCACATGCTGTTCCTTCTGCTAGAATGTTCTTCCCTTCACTCTGGTTAACCACTACTTATCTCTTGGATCTCAGCTAAAATGTTACTTCCTCAGTCAGGCCTTTCTTACTGTAGTCTCTCACGATACCCTCTAATTGCCTTGCATAGTACTTACCATACAATAACTATGCAATTATTACAATGATTATGCAATTATTTGGGTAATTATTGTTTAATGGCTATATTTTGAACACTAGACTATAAACTGCATGGGAACAGGAACCTCATCTATTTTTTATAATTTTATTTTTAAAAAACAGCATTATTGAGGTATAATTCACATATCACAAAATTCACCCACTGAAGTATACAATTGATTTTTTATAAATTTATAGTTGTGTGATCCTCACCATACAGTTTTAGAACACTTCCATCACCCCAAAAATGTTTCCTTGTACCTGTTTGCAATTCCGTGCTTCCACTCCTATCCTCAGCCCTTGGCAACAACTGAGCTTCTTTCTGTTTCTAAAAATTTGCCTATTCTGGACATTTCACATAAATTGATCATATAATATTTGGTCTTTTGGGGCCGGCCCCGTGGCCGAGTGGTTAAGTTTGCGTGCTTTGCTGCGGCAGCCCAGGGTTTTGCAGGTTCGGATCCTGGGCGCAGACATGGCACTGCTTGTCAGGCCATGTTGAGGTGGTGTCCCACATGCCACAACTAGAAGGACCTGCAACTAAGATATACAACTATGTACGGGGGGGATTTGGGGAGATAAAACAGAAAACAAAAATTTTGGTCTTTTGTGCCTGGATTCTTTCACTTAGCACATGTTTTGAGATGCATCCATGTTGTAGCATGTATCAGTAGCTTGTTCCTTTTAATTGCTGTGTAGTATTACATCATATAGCTATATTAAGTTTTGTTTATCCTTTGATGGACAGCTGGATTGTTTCCAGTTTTTGGCTATATTAAATAATGCAGCTATGAACACTCACATGCGTCTTTATGTAGATGTATGTTTTCATTTCTCTTGGGTGGGTAGATTCCTCTAGTAGAACTGCTAGTGGAGTTACATGGTAAGTGTATGTTTAACATTTTCAGAAATTGCCAAACTGTTTTCCAAAGTGGCTGTACCATTTTACAATAATGTACGAGGATCACAGTATCTCTATATCCTTGCCATTGACTATAGCCATTCTAGTGGGTATGCAGTGGTATCTCATTGTGGTTTTAATTTGCATTTCCACAATGATTAATTATGTTGAGCATTTTTTCATGTGCATATTAGCCATTCATATATCTTCATTTGTGAAATGCCTATTCAAATCTCTTGTCTAGTTTTTAGTTGGGTTGTTTGTCTTATTATGGAGTTGTAAGAGAGTTCTTTATATGTTCTGGATACAAGTTCTTTATCTGATACATGACTTGCAAATATTTTCTCCCAGTTTGTGGCTTTTCACATTCTTTTTTTTTTTTTTTAAGATTTTATTTTTCCTTCTTTTCCTCCAAATCTCCCCAGTACATAGTTGTATATTTTTTTTTAGTTGTGGGTCCTTCTAGTTGTGGCATATGGGACACCGCCTCAGCATGGCCTGATGAGTGGTGCCATGTCCGCACCCAGGATTAGAACCAGTGAAACCCTGGGCCGCTGAAGCAGAGCACGCAAATTTAACCACTCAGCCATGGGGCCAGCCTCTCTTTTCATATTCTTTTTTTTTTTATCAAGATTATGATAGATTACAACCTTGTGAGATTTCAGTTGTACATTATTGTTAGTCATGTTGTGGGTAAACCACTTCACCCTTTGTGCCCTCCCCCACCCCCCCTTTTCCCTGGTAACCACCAATCAGTTCTCCTTGTCTATATGTTAACTTCCACCTATGAGTGGAGTCATATAGAGTTTGTCTTTCTCTGTCTGGCTTATTTCGCTTAACACAATTCCCTAAAGGTCCATCCATGTTGATGCGAATGGGACGATTTTGTCCTTTTTTATGGCTGAGTAGTATTCCATTGTGTATATACACCATATCTTCTTTATCCAATCATCAGTTGCTGGGCACTTGGGTTGGTTCCACGTCTTGACTATTGTAAATAATGCTGCGATGAACATAGGGGTGCATGGGACTCCTGGAATTGCGGATTTCAGGTTCTTAGGATAGATACCCAGTAGTGGGATGGCTGGGTCATAAGGTATTTCTATTTTCAACTTTTTGAGAAATCTCCATACTGTTTTCCATAGTGGCTGCACCAGTTTGCATTCCCACCAACAGTGTATGAGGGTTCCTTTTTCTCCACAGCCCCTCCAACATTTGTCACTCTCGGTTTTGGATATTTTTGCCAATCTAACGGGTGTAAGGTGATATCTTAGTGTAGTTTTGATTTGCATTTCCCTGATGATTAGTGATGATGAACAACTTTTCATGTGTCTATTGGCCATCCTTATATCTTCTTTGGAGAAATGTCTGTTCATGTCCTCTGCCCATTTTTTGATCGGGTTGTTTGGGTTTTTTTTGTTGAGCTGTGTGAGTTCTTTATATATTATGGAGATTAACCCTTTGTTGGATAAGTAGCTTGTAAATATTTTTTCCCAATTAGTGGGCTGTTTTTTTGTTTCAATCCTGTTTTCCCTTGCCTTGAAGAAGCTCTTTAGTCTGATGAAGTCCCATTTGTTTATTCTTTCTATTGTTTCCCTCATCTGAGGAGTCATGGTGTCCGAAAAGATTCTTTTGAAACTGATGTCAAAGAGTGTACTGCCTATATTCTCTTCTAGAAAACTTATTGTTTCACGCCTAATCTTTAGGTCTTTGATCCATTTTGAGTTTATTTTTGTGAATGGTGAAAAAGAATCGTCAATTTTCAATCTTTCACATGTGGCTGTCCAGTTTTCCCAGCACCATTTGTTAAAGACACTTTCTTTTCTCCATTGTAGGCCCTCAGCTCCTTTGTCAAAGATTAGCTGTCCATAGATGTGTGGTTTTATTTCTGGGCTTTCACTTCTGTTCCATTGATCTGTGTGCCTGTTTTTGTACCAGTACCATGCTGTTTTGATCACTGTAGCTTTGTAGTATGTTTTGAAATCAGGGATTGTGATGCCTCTGGCTTTGTTTTTCTTACTCAGGATTGCTTTAGCAATTCTCAGTCTTTTGTTGCCCATATGAATCTTAGGATTCTTTGTTCAATTTCTGTAAAGAATGTCATTGGGATTCTGATTGGGATAGCGTTGAATCTGTAGATTGCTTTAGGTAGTACGGACATTTTAACTATGTTTATTCTTCCAATCCATGTGCATGGAATGTCTTTCCATCTCTTTATGTCGTCACCAATTTCTTTCAAGAAGGTCTTGTAGTTTTCATTGTATAGATCTTTCATTTCCTTGGTTAAATTTATCCCAAGGTATTTTATTCTTTTCGTTGCGATTGTGAACGGGATTGAGTTCTTGAGTTCTTTTTCTGTTAGTTCATTGTTAGTGTATAGAAATGCTACTGATTTATGTATGTTGATTTTATACCCTGCAACTTTGCTGTAGCTGTTGATTGTTTCTAATAGTTTTCCTATGGATTCTTTGGGGTTTTCTATATATAAGATCATGTCGTCTGCAAACAGCAAGAGTTTTACTTCTTCATTGCCTATTTGGATTCCTTTTATTTCTTTTTCCTGCCGAATTGCTCTGGCCAACACCTTCAGTACTATGTTGAATAGGAGTGGTGAAAGTGGGCACCCTTGTCTTGTTCCTGTTCTCAGAGGGATGGCTTTCAGTTTTTGTCCATTGAGTATGATGTTGGCTGTGGGTTTGTCATATATGGCCTTTATTATGTTGAGGTACTTTCCTTCTATACCCATTTTATTGAGGGTTTTTATCATAAATGGATGTTGGATCTTGTCGAATGCTTTCTCTGCATCTATTGAGATGATCATGTGGTGTTTGTTTCTCATTTTGTTAATGTAGTGTATCACGTTGATTGACTTGCGGATGTTGAACCATCCCTGTGCCCCTGGTATAAATCCCACTTGATCATGGTGTATAATCTTTTTGATGTATTGCTGTATTTGGTTTGCCAGAATTTTGTTGAGGATTTTTGCATCTATGTTCATCAGTGATATCAGCCTGTAGTTTTCCTTCTTTGCGTTGTCCTTGTCAGGTTTGGGGATCAGAGTGATGTTGGCTTCATAGAATGTGTTAGGGAGTGCTCCATCTTCCTCAATTTTCTGGAATAGTTTGAGAAGGATAGGTATTAAATCTTCTTTGAATGTTTGGTAGAATTCTCCAGAGAAGCTGTCTGGTCCTGGACTCTTATTTTTGGGGAGGTTTTTGATTACTGTTTCTATTTCTTTACATGTGATTGGTCTATTCAGATTCTCTATTTCTTCCTGATTCAGTTTGGGGAGGTTGTAGGAGTCTAGGAATTTGTCCATTTCTTCTAGGTTGTTCAATTTGTTGGCATATAGTTTTTCATAGTATTCTCTTATGATCCCTTGTATTTCTTTGGTATCTGTTGTGATTTCTCCTCTCTCATTCCTAATTTTACTTACTTGAGATTTCTCCCTTCTTTTCTTAGTGAGTCTGGCTAAGGGTTTGTCGATTTTGTTAATTTTTTCGAAGAACCAACTCTTTGTTTCATTGATCCTTTCTACTGTCTTTTTTGTTTCAATATCGTTTATTTCTGCTCTAATTTTTATTATTTCCCTCCTTCTACTGACTTTGGGCTTTGTTCTTCTTTTCCTAATTCTGTTAGGTGTTGTTTGAGGTTGCTTATGTGAGATTTTTTCTTGTTTAGTGAGGTGAGCCTGTATTGCAATGAATTTCCCTCTTAGGACTGCTTTGCTGCATCTTTTCATATTCTTAATGATGGCTTTTGAAGCACAAAAGCTTTTAATTTTGATGTAGTCCAATTTACCAATATCTTCTTTTATGGATCACGCTTTTGTGTCATATGCAAAAATTCTTTCTCCAACTCAAAGTCACGAAGATTTTCTTCTATGTTTTCAGCTCTTATGTTTAGGTGTATGATCCATGTTGAGTTCAATTTTATGTAAGGTATGAAACAAGGGTCTAAGTTCTTTTTTTGCATGTGGATATCCAGTTGTGCCAGCACCATTTGTTGAAAAGACCATCCTTTCCCCCATCAAATTGCCCAGGTACTTTTGTCTAAAATCCATTGACCATAAATGTAAGGATTTATTTCTACATTCTCAATTCTGTTCCATTGATCTATATGTCTATCCTTATGTTAGTACCATACTGTCTTAATTATTGTGGATTTGTAGTAAGTTTTTGAAATCAGGTTAGTGGAAGTCCTCCAACTTTATTCTTCTTTTTCAAAATTTTTTTAGCTCTTCTAGATCCTTTGCAATTCCATATAAATTTTAGAATTAGCTTGTCAATCTCTATATAAAAGCAAGTATGGACTTTGATAGGAATTGCATTTAATTTATTGATCAATTTGGAGAGAACTGCCATCTTGACAATATTGACTCTTCTGATCCATGAACATGGGGACATTTATTTATTTAGATATTCTTTTATTTTTCTCAGCAATGTTTTGTGCTTTTAAATGTATAAGAACTGAGCTTCTTTTATCAAATTTATTACTAAATATTTTATTATTTTTGGAGTTAATGTGAATGAAACTGTTTCCTTAACTTCATTTTTGGATTGTTTGTTTCTGCCTCATCTATTTTTGCTGAGCATTTATTATTTGTCTCTAGAAACTAGGGTGGGATGAATTAATGAGAAAATAAAACGTGTTTTCATGTTTCTTACATAGATGAACTTTCATTATGCTTTTTAATGACATTTATAATTTATACATTGCATTGTATATTTATTTTTATAGACTTTTAAAATATGATCATCTTGAGAGCAGGGACATCTTATTATTCTTTACATGTCTGGCACATAGAAGGTAACTCAATAAATTTGTTAAATGAATGACTATAGCAAAGCTTTGAATTAGCCACCCCTATTAAAAGGGAAAGGGAAGACCACTACCTTTTTCAAAAGTTAAGAACATGTCTTTGAATATCTTTTAACTTGTTTTAATTACTCATCATATAGGGTTTTGCACATAGTTCTTGACTGACTGCTAAGCTAGAGGGAGTTCATACCAAATCTCAGAATTTACTTCAAATAACTTCACATTCCCACAGCAAAAGATCTGCAGTGTGGTAAGTAACTAATCATTTATATTTATCCTACAACTGCTGCTTCTCAAATGTCTAATTATATCTCTTAAACTCATGTCTAGAGGATTAACCGGTAAAATCAAGGCCAATCTAAAATCACAGTTTAGGGATAGAAACCTATGAGTAAGAAGAGCTTCCAAATGTATCTTCTACTTAAGAGAAAGTACGTTTTCATCCTCTTTTGGTTAAAAGCTAAAGAGGAAAAGTCTAATTCACTAGTAGGACTAAATCTAAAGTGCTACACATTAAAAAGACATCTCATGCTTGAGATGTGCTTCAAAATAATATGGAAGCAGAAGTAGGACAGGGGTTATACACGAAATAAGACTGACCACAGGGGCTGGCACTGTGGCCAAGTGATTAAGTTCACACACTCCGCTTTGGCAGCCCAGGGTTTCACTGGTTCGGATCCTGGGCACGGATCTAGCATCGCTCATCAAGCCATGCTGAGGCAGAGTCCCACAGAGAACTAAAAGGACCTACAAGTAGAATATACAACTATGTACTGAGGGGGCTTTGGGGAGAAGAAGGAAAAAAAAAAAAAAGATTGGCAACAGATAGTTCAGGTGCCAATCTTTAGGAAAAAAACAGACTGAAAACAACTGTTGATGTTGGGTGATGTGTTCATTAGGGGTTTATTATACTATTCTGCCTACTTTAGTGTATGATCGAAATTTTCCACAATAAACAGTTCCAAAGAAAAAGATACTTCAATGGAATGGATATGTGACAGAAATTAGATCAGTAAGAATAAAAGATGTAAGCAGGCAAACCCTTTTGTGTACAAATGTCTACAAAACAGTTTTTGTTCGTTTTAGAATCAGGACTTTTAAATCTCCAGGACAGTTTTCAGTTTTCTTTGAATAAATCTTCTGTAGAAAATACTGAGGAACAGGTCTAAATGAGTTAGAGAAAAACAACACGCCCCCCAAAAATTCAAAACTGCCTAGTGCTTTGCATTTTTTTTCTTTATAATGAAAATCACCAAATTTTCTTCCTACCCTAAAAATATTATTGAAAACAAACTAAAAATCTCAGTGTTGTTCCTCATTATGCCCACTTCTAAAAGGTTTACAACTTCCATAAGGGATGGAAACAAAAAAGGGCCTGAAAACTATTAATTTTATAACTGCATGAGCATTTGTTAGGCAAACAGTAAATTTTTAGAGAAAATGGTAAATCAATCATAATTTCCAAGGGAGATTCTTGTTTTCATGTGTAACAGACTTTACTGATGCATTAGGGATAACTAAAAGGAGTTATAACACAGAAGGAGAAGAGAAACCCTAAATATGTCTAGTCCAAGAGCAAAGAAAGAAAAAATATATAAACTCTTCTTGAAAGATTCCCAATAGGGCACAATTTAGTTCCAAGGGAAATGCTGAGTTTTCCATTTTTGGCTTCAAGTTTTCGTTTTTTTGGTTTTTTGCTGAGGAAGAGTTGCCCTGAGCTATCATCTGTTGCCAATCCTCCTCTTTTTCTTGCTTGAGAAAGATCTGCCCTGAGCTAACATCTGTACCAATCTTCCTCTATTTTGTATGTGGGTCACTGCCACAGCATGGGACCCCACCACAGCATGGCCAATGAGTGGTGTAGGTCCATCTCCAGGATCCAAAACTGCAAACTCAGGCTGCCAGAGCAGAGCACAGCACACTGAACTTAACCACTATGCCACAGGGCTGGTCCCAGCTTCAAGTTTTTAAGGAACTACAACTTGAAAATATGACAAAATATATTGGAGAAAAACCGTGTTATCTTCTGTCCCAGCTACATCCCCAAAATAAAACAAAAAGCAAACAATAAGGAGACGTGATTGACTAATTACTCATCTGTAGCTCACCTTCAGGAAACATGAATCGAATTTCTCTTTCTGCTGCAGCAAAATCATTACTCCCATGAAGTGCATTTCTTAGGTCATCTGTGCCATAAATTGCCCTTAGACTAAAAGCAAGTTAGAGATGATGACCATCCAATTTGACATCCTTTCCTTAGTTTTCACATGTGTATTCTACTTAGGAATTTTACAAAAGCATTGCCACTTCTCATATATACAGGTTTTAATCTATTTCAAATTTAAGCTTAAATCTATCTAGACAAGGGTCAGATATATTTAAATCTGCAGGAGAGATACACTGGGAAAATAGGAGTTCTCTGGGCAAAAGGAGGTGTAGTTTTGTGAGAAGTGAAAAAGCAATGCATATTCAAAAGTGCAAGAACTCTGGTTTCCAGACATTAATGATAATGCTGAAAATCTGGATTTCTGGTCTGTATTATCAATATTCTTCTAAAATACCATACCAATTTTCCCATGAAAAATCCTACTTCAGTGGCAGTTTAATTCAAGGTTGAGAAAAGAATAAGCCTCATCAACCATAAATCAGATATTCCATGAGGCCTTTTGTGGTATTTGGTATTAAAGATAGACTTTTAAATAGTTAAGGCATAAAATGAACCTCCCCCACACAACATACACACAAAAAGCAGCTGATTCAGGAAGTCTCAAATAAAAGGAAATTCCTATTATAATGAAATCAGATTTTTTTTTTTCATTTTCATAGTTGGATTTCACTTTTCCCCCTAGGAAAGTTACCTGTCTGGGTGTGTCTCCTTAGCTAGTAAGCTATTACTTGGTCCCAAAAGTTCTTTCCAGTAAGAGATGGCTTTATGTCTAGCTAATATCATAGCAACAAGTGGCCCAGAACTCATGTAAGCTGTTAAATTGGGGAAAAACATTTTCCCATACTGTTCCACGTAAAAGTTACTACAGTGCTCAGGGCTGAGATGCAGTTTTCTTCTCTATAAGAGAAACAAAGTTAACAAAAGCATTTAAAATGACAGCTCAGTAATACATCATTAAGTCATTAATAACTTGAAATTAGTAACAATCTGATTACAAGTTTGAGATATATTTTTGTATTATGAAGAAAGAGTGAGATAAGAAAGTTAAATGTAGGCTATAAATAAAATTATAAGATTATTTTCATTCTAGGCTGGGAATATGAGGTGTAGGAGGACTCTGGACTCTCCCCCTCCCACGGACAAAACAAATTTACAACTACTCTTGGAACAATTACCTCTGAGAGAGAACCAGAAACTGGATAAAAAGAATGCCCACAACAAGGGACAGTGCTGACTGAGGTGGAAGAGGCAGAAATGCCTTTCTGGAGAGGAAAACAGCCACATTCTAGCCATGGCACTTTACATCCAGGAACAATCTTAAGATATGAAGCTTCCTGTGGAAGAGCAGGGGATCTGAAGAGGAGAGCTATGCCATAATAAGCAGCTTTTGAACTCAGCACAACTGAGACAAGTGTCATAATATCTGGCTTTGCTGGCTATTAGCAACAACAAGGAATACCCTCAGAAAAGCTACCAAACATAAGAGAAAGAAAAGCCTGCTCTTAAAGGGTACACACACAAATTCACCCATTTCAGAAAGCAACACAAAATCACCAGGAAGAAAGGTACACAGTCCTTTGATGAAGAGAGACTGACTTGGTGGGCTCTGGGCGCATCTCAGGGAGGCAGGAGGCAGCTGCGGCCACCTCCCCAGGAACTGAGACATTGGTGGCAGCCATTATTGTGCTCTAGTATAGGTATGCTGACACAGACACAGGCAGACACCACTGGAGTTCTTACCCTGGTCTGTTAGCACTGGGGTTTGCCCTGCCCACTAGAGTACTGATTTAATCCAGCTCAGCCAGGGCAGGCAGCCTGCCCTAGGAATGGACCCCACCCACCAACAAGTCCTGGAGCAACTTGTGGGTCTGCATAGACAGGGTGTGTGGAACCTCTTCAGCAGGATGAGTGGGCCCACTCAGTGGGGCATGGCATCTTCATGGGGCAGGATTGTGTGGACAGGGTGGGTGGGCCAGTGGGTGGTGGGGCTTGTCAGCTGTAACAGACTTGTTCTTCTCAAACAGCCATATAGGGGATCTGCCCCACCTTCCAATGCCTAAAGCAATTGTGTGCTGCCACGCCTGGGGCCAGCCCCACCCAGCTGCACTACTGAGGGAGCTGACAATAGCCTTGTACACCAGAGGCCTACAGCAATTGTGAGCCCCTGAGCCTAGCAACCAGCCACATTAGGGTCCTACTCACTTAACAGAAAAACTGTAGCAGGAATGTGCTATTAGACCTTGCAGCCAGCTGTGCTGGGGCTGCCACCATCTGATAAAGTGACTGCAGCAGCCACACGCAACTGAGCCTTACAACCAGCTGTCTAGGGGGATGGCCTAGCCTTCCCGTGCACCTGCAGTATTGGCAAATCTGCCACAACAGAAGGACACATATAGCCCATGCAGGGGACACTCCTGGAACATTTGGAACTGGTGACAAGAGGGAAGCACATTGCTGTGCCTTATAAGGATCTCCTACATAAGGCCACTTTCCCAAGATCAGGAGACATAGCTGATCTACCTAAAACACAAACATAAGAACAGAGAAATGGAAAAAATGAGGAGACAAAGGAATATGTTCCAAATAAGGGAACAGGACAAATCCTCAGAAAAAGAACTAAATGAAACAGAGATAAACAATCTACCTGACAAAGAGTACAAACTAATAGTCATAAGGACACTCACTGATCTTGGGAGAAGAATAGATGAATATAGTGAGAACTTCAACAAAGAATTGGAAAATATCAAAAAGAACCAATCAGAACTGAAGAATACAATAATGGAAATGAAAAATTTACTGGCAGGAATCAGTAGCAGAGTAGATGATACAGAAGAATGGATCAGTGAGCGGGATGAAAGACTAGAGGAAATCACCCAAGCTGAACAGAGTAAAGAAAAAAAATTAAAAAGAACCAAAACAGTCTAAGGGACAACATCAAGTGCAAGAACATCTGTGTTATAGGTGTCCCGGAAGAATAGGGAGACAAAGGGGCAGAGGATCTATTAGAAGAAATAATAGCTGAAAACCTAAGGAAGGAAACAAACATTCAGGTACAGGAAACACAGAGAGGGCAAAATAAGATGAACCCAAAGAGGTCTACACCAAGACACATTGTAATTGAAATGTCAAGAACTGAGACAAAGAGAATCCTAAAAGCTGCAAGGGAAAGGCAACAAGTTACATACAAAGGAACTCTTTTGTATGGCTAACTTCTCAGCAGAAACTTTGTAGGCTAGAAGGAAGTGGTACGATATATTTAAAGTGCTGAAAGGGAAAAACCTACAGCCAAGAATACTCTACCCAGCAAGGTTATCACTCAGAATGTAAGGAGAGAGAAACTTTTCCAGACAAGCAAAAACTAAAGGAGTTTATCATTGAGAAACCAAACTTACAAGAAATGCTAAAAGGACTTATTTAAGTGGAAAAGAAAAGACTACAAATAGGAATAAGAAAATTATCAAAAATAATAATAATAAAAATCACTGGTAAAGGCAAATATACGGTAAAGGTAGCTGATCAATCACCTATGAAGCTAACATGAAGGTCAAAAGAACTAGTACTATCTATTTCCAAGATAAAAGGTTAATGGATACACTCACACAAAAAAGAAGTTAACTATGATATCTAAAACAAAATGTGGAAGGAGGGGAGTAAAAGAGTAGAGCTTTTAGCAAGAGGTCAAACTTAAGAGACCACCAACTTAATATAGATTGCTATTTATGTAGTTATTATATACGAACCTTATGGTAATCACAAACCAGAAACCTATAACAAATACACAAAAAATTAAAACGAAGGAACCCAAACATAAAACTAAAGAAAGCCATAAAACCACCATAGAAGTGAGCAAGAGAAGAAGAAAGGAAGAGAGAAGAACTACTAAAACACCCAGAAAAAAGTAACAAAATGACAATGACTACATACTTATCAATAGCTACTTTAAATGTCAATGGACTAAATGCTCCAATCAAAAGACAGAGGGTAGCTGATTGGATTAAAAAACAAGAGCCATATATATATGATCCATAAAAGAGACACATTTCAGACCTAAAGACACTCACAAACTGAAAGTGAAGGGATGGAAAAAGATACTCCATGCAAATGGCAATGAAAAGAAAGCTGTGGTAGCAATACTTATATCAGACAAAATAGACTTTAAAACAAAAACTGTAGCACGAGACAAAGAAGGGCACTACATAATCATAAAGAGAACAATTCAGAAAGAGGATATAACAATTATAAATATCTATGCACCCAACATGAGAGCACCTAAATATATAAAGCAATTACTAACAGACATAAAAGGAGAAATAGACAGCAACAGAATAATAGTAGGGGACTTTAACACTCCACTTACATCAATGGATAGATCATCCAAACAGAAGATCAACAAGGAAACACTGACCTTAAATGACACATTAGACCAGATGGACTTAGTAGATATCTACAGAACATTCCACCCCAAAACCACAGAATACACCTTCTTTTCAAATGCACATGGAACATTCTCCAGGATAGATCATACATTAGGCCACAAAATAGGCCTCAATAAATTTAAGAAGACTGAAATAACACCAAGCATCTTTTCTGACCACAATGGTTTGAAACTAGAAATCAACTACAGGAAGAAAACTGGAAAAGCCACAAACGTGCAGAGATTAAACAAAATGCTACTGAACAACTACTGAGTCAACAAAGATATCAAGGGAGAAATTAAAAAGTACCTGGAGACAAATAAAATGAAAATATGACATGCCAAAATTTATGAGATACAGCAAAAGCAGTTCTAAGAGGAAAGTTTATAGCAATACAGGCCTACCTCAACAAACAAGAAAAATCTCAAATAGACAATCTAACAGCACATCTAGGGAACTAGACAAAGAAGAACAAAGCCCAAAATCACTAGAAGGAAGAAATAATAAAAATCAGAGTGGAAATAAATGAGCTAGAGACTAAAAAAAGAAAAAGAAAAAATCAATGAAACTAAGAGCTGGTTCTTTGAAAAGATAAACAAAATTGACAAGCCCTTAGCTACACTCACCAAGAAAAAAAAGAGAGAAGCTTCAAATAAATAAAATCAAAAATGAAAGAGGCGAAATTACAACGGACACCTCAGAAATACAAAAGATTCTAAGAGAATACTATGAAAAGCTATATGCCAACAAATTGGATAATCTAGCAGAAATGGATAAATTCTTAGAATCATACAACCTTCCAAAACTGAATCAAGAAGAAATAGAGAATCTGAATAGACCAATCACCAGTAAGGAGATCAAAACAGTAATCAAAAACCTCCCCAAAAATAAAAGTCCAGAACCAGACGGCTTCCCTGGCGAATTCTACCAAACATTCAAAGAAGACTTAATACCTTTCCTTCTCAAACTATTGCAAAAAACTGAAGAGGAGGGGAAGCTTCCTAACTCATTCTATGAGGAAAACATTACCCTGATACCAAAACCCAGACAAGGATAACACAAAAAAATAAAACTTCAGGCCAATATCATTGATGAACATCAGTGCAAAAATCCTCAGCAAACTACTAGCAAATCAAATATAACAATACATTAAAAAGATCATAGACCATGATCAAGTGGGATTTATTCCATGGATGCAGGGGTGGTTCGACATCCACAAATCAATCACTGTGATATACCACATTAACAAAATGAAGAATAAAAACCACATGATCATCTCAGCAGATGCAAAGAAAGCATCTGACAAGATAAAGCATCCATTTATAATAGAAATTCTGAATAAAATGGGTACAGAAGGAAAATACATCAACATAATAAAGGCCATATATGACAAACCCACAGCTAATATCATACTCAACAGAGAAAAACTGAAAGCTATTCCTCTAAGAACAGGAACTAGACAAGGATGCCCACTTTCACCAC